CCCCTATATATATATATATATATATATATATATATATATAACTTGTGTATCCGTACAATGCAACCAGATCCGTGAATATAAATGATTTTGAAGTAAGGTGGTTTTTTAGAGGTGATTTTAAGACACTATGATGATAGGATTTGTATTTAAGGGTCGTTTATTAAACACTTACTAATTAAGCTTTTATCAGCTCATTTACCTTACCGGATGAATATAACAAAGACACAAAATTTTACTCAATAAGAACGATGTTAAAAATAGAGTCTTAACGGATGTGAAGGTAACGAACGTTACCAATTTGTAATATGGCCAAAAGCCCAAGTAGACCATGAAACCATTTCCAATATGGCCCTTGTCATTTCTTTTACTTTCAACATCTTCATCAAAAACCAGCCCACGAGTAAAATCCAAAAGCTGGAGGATATGATAGTCTTTGGAAAGAAATTACCATGAGTAAAAACGACTACTATTATAATGTCTCAATGTTGCAAGTCACCATTACCACTTGTTATCAATACATTTGGGAGTTTGAGGAATGAACTACAACAAAATTGGGTTTATAGGACACTCTCAATCTCTAAGTGTCATAATAGACTGCTTTACAGGACTTAATTTATAGGAGCAAAATATAAAGTGTCCTATCTAAAGGTGTTGTAATAAGTTTATACGACATTTTTGAGCGTCTTAACAAGTTTTTAAGGACATTTCTAATACAAAATGTCACATTAACAACTTTATAAGACACTTTTGAGAAATTGTCCTATAAACTCAATTTTTTATAGGACACTTGTTCTTATAGGACATTTTTTCAAATAGTGTCCTATAAAGTTGATAATGGGACACTTATATTAAAAATGTCCTAAAAAACTTATTACGACATCAAAAAAGTCATATAAACTTAATACAACATCATTAGATATGACATTTATTTTTTTGGTCCTATAAACTAAGTCCTACAAAGAGGTCTATTCGGACGTTTACAATTTGGGAGTGTCCTATAAACCCGATTTTATTATAGTGGAAGGGGCTTAAATACAAATGTGGCACCTAGAATATAGGCTTGGTTCTACTTGGGTAATTAACTAAGCTTCTCTTTGATTTCATAACTTGAATATTGTAGCATTTAAACATCATGAAACATTTAATACCTTTTACTAAAGCTGCAATTAAACGCTAACGAAAAATAAGAAATAGGCCGCCGGATAGATAACCTAACCAGCTGCTTAAAATTAAGTCGTCTTAATCAACGTACCGGACTAAAATGTTGTTGGATTTTCT